GGGCACCGGGACATTGTTCTTCATCATGGCTGACTGGGTTGTTTCGCTTGACATCAAGACGTTGAAGATGGAGAGGCTATGGCACAACGACGACGAGCGGAGACCCCTCGGCGACCTCTACCCCTACGAGATGGTGGCGTGGCCGCCGGCGCTCAAGGACCTGGTGAAGCCTCCGGTGAATGCATAGCGTGGCACTGCGTGCTGATTACTGTAGCGTGTGTTTTGGTGGTGTCAGTGAGAAGGGAATTGTTATGTTCAGTATTACTGTCGAGTTTGTACTTTTGGACTGAATTGTTGTAAAGATAATGATATTTGTGGTTGCAGTTAGAACTGCTATAATATCGATGATCCAATGAAATTGCTTTTAGATTCGTTTTGGTTCAGTTACCACTGCAGTAATGTTTCATTACCAAACGAATTGCAATTAGCACTGCGGTAATTGATCATCAAATGAATTGCTTGTAAATTTCTCAGTAGCGTTATTATTGCAGTTACATAACCGAAAAAATATGCTTGCACTGTTGCACATTCAAATTTCTACACCGAACATTTATCATTTTGACCACTTACGCAGGAGCAAATTGCGCAAACCATCAAACATTGGTGTTGATCTTGAAAAGAACAAGTATTCTACTGGCACACTTTTCAATCTATTTTGTCTTTTTGAACAGTGATAATGAGGTGTTACTAGTATTGTCAAGCAGCAGGCAGTAACTTCTCCATCTTCGAGGTTCCTGACCTTTCTACTCTGCTGTGTAAAAAGTAGACTGGAGAAGGCAAGATCGATACTAGTGCTCCTTCCGATTCATATTAAATAATATATTGCTGTAGCATGTCTTGTTCTACGTGGATTGAAGCGAGTAATATCTCTATGGTTTATTGGTCTTCTTCGTATCTTGTGTCAAATATTTTATTATGAATTTAACTAACATAACATCAATGCATGTTACTAAAAATTATATCGTAGATTCGTATTTAAACCTAGTTTCTAATTTTTTTATGACATGTATTAACATTTTTTTATTTAAATATAAGATTAAAAGTTAGGACAAAATACAAAAGAGACCAATAAACCAAGACGGTGTTGCTTATTGGGTCATAAACGATAAGACATCAGCCTTCTGTCAAAATTACACTGTACTTGTGTAGTCATATTGACTTCTTTCCAGTGATACAGACTAGCACAAGGAACTGCTTTAGGCTCCAGCTATCTATAAGATTTAAATAAAACTGACATGACTAAACACCTTCAGCAATGAACAACATAGCATGGGTAGGAGCAAGTGTCGCACCACTGCTGGCGAAATTGCTGTGCACACGATCTTTCATGCATGATTTGTGCACAACACTCTTTACAAGCCACACAGATTTAAAAAGAAGAAATTCAATGGTGTACATGATCAGTCGTCTGTGGATCGTGTGTTGTTTTATTGTCTGCGTAGCAATGCTCTAAGGGTATTGTGAAAATCAGGAACCAACTATCACATGTAAAGTAGTTTCGAATGTAAATTCATGACCCTATTTTTTTCCTAGTACCGCATATGAATTTAAGGCATCTCCAACGCTGACCCTAAGCAACGGGTGCAAGCTTGTTAGTATCGGTGGCTTCTGCGAGGCCACCTGGATATTGTTCTTCTTCATGGCTGACTGGGTGTCGCTTGATCTCAAGACGTTCAAAGATGAGAGGCTATGGCACAACGACAATGAGAAGCGGCCCATCGGCGACCTGCACCTCTACGAGATGGTGGTGTGGCCGCCGACGCTCAAGAATCTGGTGAAGCCTCCGAGGAATGCATGGTGTGGTAGAGCATGGTGATTACTGTAAGGTGTGATTTGGTTGTGTCAGTGAGAAGGGAATTGCTATGTTAACTATTAGTCGAGTTTGTACTTTTGGATATGCAAATGTGATAAAGTTAATGGTATTTGTGGTTGTAGTTAGGACAGCAATAGTATCGATGATCCAATGAAATTGCTTTTAGATTCGTTTTGATTTAGTTAGCACTGCAGTAATATTTCATCATTGAATGAATTGCACAATTAGCACTGCAGTAATTGATCATCAAATAAATTGCTTGTAAATTTCCAAGTAACGCCCCCGCATTCAAATTTCTAAACAGAACATTTATATTTGACCTCTTCTGCAAGCAAACTACTACCTCCGTCACGGTTTAGAAGGCGCACTTAAAAATTCTCTGAGACCTAGGTGGTTATCTATTGGTTGTGAGATGGGCTAAAAAATAGCATTCACACTACGCATGCATATAGAAATAGTATATCGGAGTACTAATTAGCTACTAAAAATAAATGCAATGCGCCCTAAACCTTGTCTATTATGGAAATGCACGCAAATTTAACTGTGCCTTCTAAACTGTGACGGAAGGAGTACATGAAACCTTTTTTTGTGTGTTATTAATGCCGATGGTAAAGCAGCATCTCAAACCTTTTTTTGTGTTAATGCCGATGGTAAAGCAGCATCTCAAAACCCCAACGCGTGACACAGTTTAACTCTCTAAGGGCCTCTCTGATTCATAGGATTCTAAAATTGCAAGAACAGGAAAAACATAGGATTAGACTGTTATGCTCATCTCAATCCTACAATTTTTTTGTTTGATTGGTTGTATCTCGGGAAAAGCAAAGGATTCTTTCAAAGCGGATTGAGTCGATGCTAAAGTTTTTATGAAATGTACTAAGTACAGAAGAATCCTAAGGAAAAATTCTCAGTCCCATGAATCAAACAACAAAGATAATAGGAAAAATTCCTATAAACATCATTTGAATGAAAGGATAAATGTCTTTTTGAACAGTGAATATGATGTGCTACTAGTATTGTCAAGCAGCAGGCAGTGATGTTACAGGACCATAACTTCTCCATCTTCAACGTTCCTGACCTTCCTACTCTGCTGTGTAACAGACAGTAGACTGGATTCATAGGCAAAATCTTACAGTATATATGTTGCTTGTTGGACCATGAACGATAAGACAGCGGTCTTCTGTCGAAAGTACACTGTGGTACCTGTGTAGCTATATTGACTTCTTCCTGCGATACGGACAGCCAAGTGTACTACTTCAATCTCGTCGGTCCTACAGTAAGAAAGCATGAGGATGTTCACTGCTCCAGCCTCTAGCACAGGCTACAAGAGTTAAATAAAACTGACATGACTACACAGCCTTACCTGCAAAAAAAGGCTACACAGCCTCAGCAATGAACAACAAAATGTAGAGCCTACGTTTGCCCTAGTACACAACGCGCACGATTTATACTCCCTGCGCTCGCGCTTTCCGAGATCTAAATTTGACCATAAATTTAACCAATGAGACCGACTGTAGTGCGCCTGCGTTTTTCGAGATCTAAATTTGCCGGTAAATTTAGCCAACAAGACCAACTACGGCGGGGGCAAAAATTTAGACACGTACGAACTCACGCTTGTGGATGTCTCTCTACGGATTGTGCAGTCAAATTTCTAAACAAAACATTTGGACATGGCAGTAGATGAAAACGTTTATTTCCTTTTAAAAAATGTGGATGTATCTATGTATTGTTGCAATAACATTAAAATCAAACTTGAAACTCAGAAGTTTGTTACAAGAAACATGCTAAAAGTAAATGAGACCCCCCCCCCCACCACCACCACCAAAAAAAGAGAGTAATTGGGGAAGTACATTCTTTGTGTTAACTTGGTGCGTCAACTGACTAGGTTGCATAGGTACTTGTAATGGTGGGAGGGTTGTGCTGGAAAATGAAATGTGTACAACCACGTGGAAAAAGACACGTCTCTTGGAAGATGCATGGGTACTTTTGCACGCTTTAAGATTTCGAGGAGCAACATTTTAAAATTAGTGGAGCACATGCTCACATGAGGCAAGACATCGCTCCTCATAGTTTGGCTTTATATTATGTTCAGAACACATAAATCTCATAAGAATCCAAGTTTTCAGCATGAATAGAATGATTCCTTGGATCCTGCACAGCTCTACGTTTGAAACAAACATTCTAGTAAGTTGTTTAACAATATACTATAGTTCTTAGGTTAGCCATATGAGAGTGGTATCATTAATTCATCTTTTAAAGTGTTCCCACACAATCACAATTTGAAGTTATTAGTAGCAGCACATCTTAATGTCAAATTGTTGAGACGAAGGCAAGTCAAAGTTATACTATGCGTTACAAAAGTAAATGGAGAAATACAAAATATTCCTTCATTTATTTCTCTGAGCTGTATTGTGGATTCGCACAGGAACAATGAGACTAAAACCAAAAGAACAACTGAGAAAATAACCATGGTACTTGCGCTCTCAATGTCTTACAAATAAGACGGGCAAGATAAATCAGGGCAAAAGAGGGAACAATCCTTCAATTTTTATACGAAAATTGAAAAAAAGTACTGCACTGTACAGACAAAAATCTAGATGCCACTTGTCAAATTTATCCAAAACAGATTCTGCTGCATAAATGATATATCGTGTATATTTTCAGATTTCTAAATGATGTGCATATCTATGCAAACTTGGAATCACATAGTATTACTATTAACATCAACAGTACTTCAAACAAAAGGGGGGAAGACTTGTATAGGATCAGCAGTTAGGTGAGATCAATGAGATCAAATTTTTTGAAGATAGAAAAAATGTTTAAAAATTCTGAAAAAGTTTGGAGACACACATTCATGTGTGATGTACAAGCTCAAAAAGTTTCAGCTCCTAATTCGAACTACACTTAGGACCAAAAGAGACAAAATCAGATGTGAATAGTGTCATGTACTATTCACCACAAAGCTGGCACTATAGATACTCGAATTTGTCTTTTTAGAATCTCTAACTGTAGATCAAGTTTTGAGCTGATCTTTTTTGAACTTGTAGACATACCTCGCAGGTATGTCGTACATTTTTTTCAGAATTTTTTGGATTGTCTAAATGTGAAATGTTTGGGCTGATCCCACGATCTCACCTAAAGGGCTGATCCTATACTAGTCTCCCCCAACAAAAGGCACAACACAACATACCTACTGTTCTGCAGCCTTCTCGTCATCCATGGAACTAGGTCTCCATTTTCTATCAAAAGGTCCATAGCTTCTCTGCACAACCGTTTGCTGTCCATTCAGTTTCGTATCAATTAACTGCAGCAACTCTTGCAATCCTGTCCCAGCCACAGCTGAAGTTTTCACATGACAAGTGGATACTGGCTCTGTCAAAGTGCAAGCACTTGTACTTATAGCTTCCGGGCCATTAGACTCTCTAAAACGATCTTCGGGTAACAGTTCAGAGTTCATTGCTTTCATCTCGACAGGCTCAGCAATCGATTCTTCAGATGCCATTTTATCATCATCATTTTCACAACTTTTTTCTGACAGAGACTCTGAATCCACTGTATCATCCAAGGAATCAAAAGACGACTGCTCTGATGACACATCATCTTCAGAGAACAAGTCTTCCTCCTCTTCACCTTCAGTAAGAAAGATCTCGTCTTCAATCCCATCAGTCAGAGCAATATTATCCACAAGATCAATCTGAAAATTTCCCATTAAACAATATATCACAATGCATATAAACAGAAAGTTACCAGGGATATGTAATTATCAAGAGTTAGAACCAACTCAAATCTCGATAGGCACCTTATTCCAAACTTCGATCATATTGTTGATCTTATCCTGTGAAACACCAATTTGCTGCAGTACTTGTAGAACAGTAGAACGATGCTCCTCAAGATCAGGTGCGCTGGAATCCAACACATGCTGCACCAATGCATACAAAGAAAAAAAAAGTAATTTCGACCCTGTTCTGTTATACTCTGAAATAATTTGTATCATACAACTAAAGCAGAACTGACAGTAAACATGCACAGGGCTAAAGTAACACCTATTGATAACATGCAAATAAAATACTTCATCAGATATGTTCAATCGAGAATGGACCTGAAAACAAGCTAACTCCACCTACCACTAACATGTCTGCCTCAGCAACTTCTTCCAGGGTGGCATGAAATGCTTCCACTAGCTGCAAACAGTTAAGTAAAGAGGTTAATAACAAGCTACAAATGGTACAATCTACAGCCCTACAGGCGAGGAGAAAATAGGATCATATAATTTTCCTTTTTAGTTGGGAAGAAGACACTGATGTAGAAAGTGTCAAACAACACGGGAAGATTAAAACCAATTGTTGTTGAAAGCTGGGCCTTATAAATTAAAACCAGTTTCATGGAACTCATGGAAGGTGTAGTGATAATGTCATGTGGAGCCAGTATTATAGACACCCCGGTCAAGCCCAGAAGAAGCCAGGTGCCGAGGCTCCCCCCACCCAACCCCACCGCGCGCGAGCGCTCCGGCGGCAACCACCCACCATAGGTATGCACTTGGGAGCCTAGGCCGTGACAGAGTTATGTAGGATTAAGCGAAGGCCAAAAATAACAACTAGATGGATTTATTGCTGCTCCCTGAATCATGCTACCTGCTTAGCTACTTGGTTACTTGGTTATTCCACCACAATCTGTCGCACATAACAAATATACATTCTATATGATGTAGTCAGAACTGATTCTCCAATCAAAATCCAATCACTAACAAGATTACCTGTACAGGCAAATCTGATATGAAGCCAACGGTATCACTGAGAAGTATTTTTCTCCTGAATGGAGTTTTGACAAAAAAGAGGTTATGCGCTGAGCATGCTCAAACTGCACAATTGCATCAACATATTATAGCAGACAGAAAAATTGCTATGTTACCCTGATGGAAGAATCACACTGCGTAATCGAGGATCTACTGTTGCAAATAATCTGCATTGAATAGGGACATAATTTACCTCTGCATAAATGCTGTATAGTGAATACAGAGTAAAGTTAATTTTCAGCATACCTATCATCACTGTATAGACCAGCTCCAGAAAGTGCACTCACTAGAGTAGATTTTCCCTAACGAAATAGCATCAGCGAACTCACGTCAGGGATAAGCTTAGGTTGTAGAGAACTCAAATATATTTCACATATTAAATAGGTTACGTGGTACTCCCTCCGTCCCAATAAAGTTGTACCAAATCAAAGACACTTATTTTGGGACGGAGGGAGTATTAATCTAGAGTATCAGATGATATAAATATCTAAGATGAAATAAATGAACAAACTGTCATAGATCCACATACAGCATTTGTATATCCAACGACTGCCACAGTTACAAGGTCTTGACCAAATGAGCCACCATGCCTCTTTCGACTCGAACGTTGTATCGCCCTAGTTCGGCGTACATCTTCAATTTGAGCTAACAAGCTTAGACGACGTTCTTGGATTCTGGATGAGATACCGGCAAAAATATGAGAAATTGTTGCATGAACTGATGTGCAGATACTTGTCTGTCTACTGTTAGGCACCTCCTGCGTTGTAGTTGAAGTTCCGTTTCACCAGCACCACTCATGAAACCCCGTCCGCCACTTCCTCTCCTAAGAACAGAACAGTGACATGAGCGTTAAATGCCAAGCAAAAGAAATTTTTACTGGAATAATTTCGATAAGTTTGCTAGGGAGAATTTTTCATTCTTAATCTTTTGTGGAACATATTCAGAAGTTTCGTAGAACATTTGTAGAATTTATGAATTTAGTTGAAAAGTGATCTTCATGCGCTTCTTCAAAAGCAAAACCCTTTTTTCCCAATGGCCAAACACAGAGAAGAGCAAAAGAACAATTCATGGCAGAAGGGAGTTTGCAAGAGTTTAAAGTGGCACAAGGAAAAAAAATATTACACGATGAAGGATGGACTTAACCTCTAATCAGAGCATACAACTGATTAGACCACCATTGTAATTTGAATGGAACATGAATTTGCTCACTTTATTAATACAATGATTCATACTTTGCCATGTCAGTTCGGAAAGATAAAAGACTTGACCTATGAAAATCTAGAGCTTCGCAAGCTTGGCATATTTATGTCATCAAACAAGACTCACATGACCATCTTTTTGCTCTGAAAGACACATGACACAGAACAAGGGTTTCGACTATTGAGGAGTACATTCGCTAGTTGATAAGGAGGCAAAGCATCTTTTGTACTAGTGCCACAAGCAAAAAAAAAAAAGCGACGAGAATTCTATCCCTTTCTATACATCATAAGGTGCTGGCATGATGCTCAATCTACTATGGTTTCAACTGTATTGCAAAAAAGTACTACTCAATAGTCAACAGTTTCTGAAAGCAAGAGCTGATCTTCAAACTGATAAAAATAAAAACTTAAAAAGGCACCAGTCTCCTGCAAGGTATTTCATGGTTTGTCCCTTCTCACAGGCAGATCACTATGAAGTGCTCAAGTACAATATAATCGACCAAAATTTGACAAGTCTCAGGCTCAAAATCAACTGGTGAACGTGCATATACAGTAGCACCACGCAGGAGAAAACTTTCACAAGATTAATTCATAAGATAAAATTAATTATTGACCACAGTAGGATGTAATTAAAAGGAAGCATACCCTCGAGCACTGACAACTTCAGCTTCCCCACTTGCACCAAAAGCTAGTTTTCCACCTGGGCCGCGGACACGGACAAGCCTAGTCTTCATGTACATGAGAGCTGCTAACTCTGACTGTACCAAGCAAGAGACAAAGTGAAATAAGTAAATAAACATCAATATTCGGTTCTTCCCATTAATATTTAATATAATACAAATAACGAGACCCTGTATAGACCCACAAATGATGTGACAGAGTAGCATGCAGTCCAATAGATAGATAAGATGCACCTGTAGCTTTGCTTCCTTTGTTTCAGCATGAGCATTGAATATCTCAATTATAAGGCCCACACGATCTAAAACTGGCTTTCCCCAGGCAACCTACCAACCAAAATATAAGACAAAAAACAAATAAAGCATCAGAAAGTCGGAAATACACATTTCTTGGTAATTTCAAATAAAATTCAACTCAGGAAACTTGCCTCCAAGTTCCTCTGTTGGACCCCAGAGAGGAGCGTATTAACAAAAACTGCATCTAATTCTTCCTGATAGGATCAATGCAAATACCAGGTATTAAGATTTGAAAAACAAAATGAAGAGTACTCCCTCTGTAAAGAAATATAAGATCGTTTAGATCACAAAAGTAGTCCAAACAATATGTTTTACCAAGATTTTTTGCATGCATTATAGAATATGCGACATTTTTGCATGCAGTATAGAAACAAGCAGAAGCATCCAAATACAAAAGCATAGAAAGGAAAAAAAATATGGGACACTATGTACAAGAGGCAAGAGAAATGTGCACCTTTTCGTCCAATGCCCTCAGGTAACACTTGATATTATCCACAGTTCCAGGTCCAAAATACGTATCTGGCATGATGAGTTGTGAGTTTAGATAAACATTTGTAGTCCTAAACAAGCCACATCAATAAGAATACCTAAGTGGGAAGACGAATTTCAAATGCTAACAAAAATGGTTCGACATGAGTTCTAAAATAACTACAAACGGGCAATGGTACAAAATTCAAGTCCATATATCGACCTTTATAACTCTTATAAGTGTATGACCCTCTTGCTTACCAATCCAACTCCAGGATATACGTAACTCTTTTTGGCTGTGTATATTAATCTAGAAGGCAAAGCTCTTAAGTTTTGTGGAGTAACCCTGCACTTTTCGAAAGGGTTGGCAAAAGCAGATCTCTGCTTAAACCCCAAAAAATAATGATAACTTGCAATTGTATCCTTGCTCTTATGATGAGAACGAGTCTATGAACCCACAGCCTCAACCATCAAAACTGTATGCTCTGCCACTGGAGTTGCCGTGTCACACTGATGTAACTTCAATACACAAATAATACACCAAAATCATAAATATGTAAGGAAGGATATATCACTATGACAAGACTTCAAAATAACAGAACCATTGCATCACAGTGAAATGTGTATAGTAACTAAATTCTTGGTGCCAGATTGCAGCTCACACGACTTCCACTTCATACCATATCAAACAGAGATCTAGCAGCTCTGTAGAATGTGTTCCATCACAAAATACGAGCCATTGAAAGCAGCAGCATCCCAATTAGATCAAGACTGGAATGACTAGGCAAAAGCAATGCAGGCATGAGCCATGACCAGCGCCCTGCGTGTACTACCACGGTATAGCTTAAACAATCGTGGAAGAACAAGCTAAATGTGCCTCCTCCTACCAACACACAATCCCCTATCAGACAACGAGGTAAATTTAAGTAAGCCTAACTGAGCAGTCTAATTCATGCATACTCTGCAGATCTTAAGAATATGGCCACAATAGTCCCCATAAACATGGAACTGGAACGCGATTCCTATTCGCAGTTGTCAATGCAACCCCAAAGCAAAAGCACTCCCACTTGAGCCAAGCAGTAAGCACGGAGAGGTTAGTTGCGTACCAGCATGGTTGCGGCCGCGGGAGGCTGGGTTCTGGACGACGAGGTGCGGCGGCGCGCCCTTGGCGGCGGACTCGGCGTGCTCGAAGCCGTCGCGGGACTCCTCGAGGGAACTGGCGAGGTTGAGCGCCTCGGAGAGCTTGGAGTCGAGGAGGGCGCCACGGCGGAGGCGCGGCTGCACCACCAGCAGGCGCGGCGGGTGCGCGGGGTCGCGGGAGAGCACGAAGAGGCCGCGCATGAGGCCCTCGTCCTCGGGCTCGGGGGGCGGCGCGGTGGGGGACGAGCGCTTGCCGCGGCCGGTGGAGAGGGCGCGGAGGGGAGGCGTCGCCGGGGAGGGCTGGCGGTGCAGGTGGGCGCCGAGGCGCGAGATGGCGGCGCGGAGCATCGCGGGCGGCGCCGGCGGGGGTCCGGGGATGTGGGGGCGGGTCCACCGGTCGGGCGCGGGGTGACGAGAGAGTGCGCGGCTTTTGCTTGTTTTAGCAAAGTTCGGTTTGGCTGGATCGGATCCGATGGCACGTGGCGGTCGGCGAGAGGCCGAGGGAGTCGCCACGACGGTGCGCCGTCGGGTCGGCACTCGGCACGGCAAGAGCGGCAGGCGATCGTGCCCTGCTGTGAGCTGTGAAACGCGGAAGGTGTCCGTAGATCGTCGTTGTGCTCGACTTCAACATAGTTTGCGGCTTGCCCAGCTATGGTCACCTGCTTTCCAGTTCCTTCGTCTTAAATCTCCGTCGGCCAAAGTATTCAAACCCAGTTACTATAATTAAACGACGGCTAACTATGTTGTGAAACTTCAGTTGTGCAGCCTTGACCATCGTTGGATGGTTCGTCGGATGAGGACTATGGAAGCACGGAGCTTGATGAGTTAATGCAAAAGGAGCCATTCGATTCGTCTGAGTCGAACGAAGATGTGGAGATGTTGATGATCACGAGCATCCAAGAGGAAATTGGCAGGGAGGTGGAGCACATTCTGAACTTCGAAGGTATGATCCAAGGGAGAAGAGTTTTGAATCGAGATGGGGTTGTTGGAGCACGACTAATCTTTAAGGACTACTTCCACCCGGACCAACTTTCCCCGATACATGATTTTGTTGACACTTCCATATGTGCAAACCGTTGTCTTATGCGTGATAGAGGGAGTGGAGGCACATGTCCTACTTCAAGCTCACCGAGGTAAACAAATCTTCAAGCCTGTCATTGTCCAATCAGATTCTATAAATGCCCTGGCCGCTCTTGGAGGATAAACTTTGGTCAGATCGGCCTACGGTCACTTAGACGTTGAGATTAAAACTCTTATGGTCGATCGAGAGTTTGTACCACTTAAAATTACTAGAGATCAAAACAGGATAGCATATCAACTGGCTTTTTATAGCCGTACCGAGACTTGTACTGCGGTATGGTTGAATTCAAGTTCTCCGTGTTGTAAGGACTTGATGGCTCGAGATTGTATCCCTATCATTACGAAAATGAAACTCTCTTTTACCCCGCAAAAAAAAACTCTTCTTTGCTAAGTAGGAATGCGCAGTTGCTATGAGGATGTTTGATTTAGGTACCGCCATCGACGAACATGCCTGAAGACCACTGTGAGATTTGCTCGCGTCGTGGTGTAGGTGTTTGGAGTAGAGTATCTGAGAGAACCAAATGCGCAAGATACAAAAAAGTTGATGGCTATTGGAGCAGCAAGAGGCTTTACAGATATGCTCGGTTCAATTGATTACATGCATTGGCAACGAAAAGAACTGCCCAAAGATTTACGCGGCATGTACTAATGTCACACTAAAGAGGCCACCGTCATACCCGAAGTAGTAGCATCAAACGACTTGTGGATTTGACATGCTTTTTTTGACATGTCTGGTTCTCACAACAATATCAATGCGCTCCAGCGACCGGAAGACTTTTGCAATGGTGACGCGCCCTCGTGCAACTACACCGTCAACGAGCACAACTACGACATGTGGTGCTACATTGCAGATGAAATCTATCCTCAATGGGCGGCGTTAACAGATCTCATGGCAACAAACAAAGCCACTTTGCATCAATATAAGAAGCAGCTAGGAAGGATGTGGATAGGGCATTCGGAGTCCTCCGAGCTCGTTGATGGAGCTGCAATTATGTGGGAATCGAAGACTTTGTGGCGGCTGATGACATGTTGCATCATTTTGCATAATATAATTGTCGAGGACGAGAATGAAAAGGTAGCCAAAACCCATGATTTCGAGAACCCAGAGAACAAGTCCACATCCCATATCAAGATGCAGATCAAATTATGAATTTTCTATAGATGCATTAGAATATTCGAGATGATTTCGTGGAGCATGTTTGGATCCACAGTAGAACCCAAGGAGCTTAATGTTTGAATTGTGCACTTTAAAAAAATTATGCTTGAACTACGTATTTCATGTATGAACTATGTTTGAATTGTGAAACTACTCAATGATCTGGTGATATTCACTGGTATGTCGGATGTGCATGAATTTGAGGGTTTTAGATACGAGGAGTGTGGCTGTTTGCCATGACTTTTGAGGGGCCGTTTCGCGTGGATGCGTCCGGCCATGTTTGTGGACGTTTAGGAGGTCGGATTTGCTAAGTTCGCCTATAAATGCTCTCACGCTAAGATACACAAGGCAAATGTTGTCACGCTAAGACAACAAGGCAAGAGCACCACCAAACTTTCATCTCTTCGATTCAAAGTATGCTTTTCATCTTCTTTGGTTAAAACTATGCTTCCGCCTAACGCTTTCAAGGCTTGAACAAGGTTTAACATTCTGCGAGATACATTTCCCCCAAATGAATGATTATGATATAATTAAGACTTTCATGGATTATCTTGATAGATTAGTTGTGCTATCTTCTTTTATGGAAATTCTAGTTTTAACTGTAAATTTAGTAAGTTGACAAGACCTTATTAAATTTATATATTAGTATGTTGGCATGTTGCATTTTTGGCAAAAAAAATATCGTTTGGACCACCCTTGCCCAAAATTCTGACTATGCCAACCATTGAGAACAAAATAATATTTCATATCTCTTAAAAAAAGCAGCATACGTAAATGAGATATGATAGGGGCTCGCAGACACACCTTGAGGGATGCCAAATTTTTTTCTTGTCGTTCATAGCGAGACCACTAGCAATAAAAATAAACAAAAACAGGGAAAGGTGATGACTTTGGTTTTTAGAATGAAAACACTGGAGTAGACCGACTTTAAATTATTAAAGTCCACACAAAAACAACGTAACACAAGATTCAGAGTACAAACATTGGACGTTCAACGATCAAAAGTAGCTTACATGACAAAACCCCAACAGAGCGTGCAAGCTCAAGATGAACAAAAGTCACCACTACCCTAATCAGCAACAAAAGGTTCAAGACGAACAAAAGTCAGCACTACCCTAAGCAGCAACCGAAGGCACTTTGGGGATCAACTTGTTGAAGCCTCGCTTATCGTTTGCATCTATTTTTTGCTCCATGGCTGCAACAGGGTATTACAATGTCAAATGTCACAAATCAAGATCATACTTTGTGGATAATTGACAAAACATTATGGACACCGAAGCTTGTTCAAGATGTAACCACTTGGTTGAAGAGTGTGAGCATCTTTTTTCTTTTGCCCAACAACTCGATGGATTTGGGGGGCAACAAGCACCCGCCCTATGGCCACGCCTATTGGATATCTCTTCAGCACAACTCTGCCCGCACTCCTGCCCACTTTGGTTCGCCCTTCCATGCTACTTCTTATCCTTTGAAATATTTGAGACGCAAGAAACAAGAAAGTTTTCCAAGGGCTTGACATTGATGTTTTTGTTTCTATTAGAGCTATCATCGACGGTTTGATTATTTG